TCTCTTAAGTCTCATATACCAACAGCAGCCAAATCCTTTCCTCTTTTTTTCTGACTTACTTCCTACTTTTTTTCTTCGTTGAGTGTGAAAGGGACAGCATGTGTATTTTATTATAAAAAAAGGAAAACTAAATACATTCCCGCACACAAACTGTGGCTACTTGCTTCTGTTTACCTTTTTAAGTCCCTTGCATGGCTAAGTCCGGCAAAAAAAAAAAGAGTGGTAAAAAATAAAAGGAAAAAGAACAGTGAACATGCGTCTGTCAAATCCAATAGAGGAGCTTAAAGGGAACATCTGGACGAGGCTTTCAGAATTGCCTGATCAGCTTGAGAGGGCTTCTTGGAATGACTGCTATTGGCAGAAGGACAAACACGTCTGTCCCGCTTTGATTTTTTTTATAGACCCTCCTGACAGGCTGTTCTACGCCAGGCCTGATCAATGGATAACCGATACAGGTATCAGACGGCGCACAAGTGGCCTTGTGCTAACGAAAGGCGCGGCAGTACAAACAAACAAGGTTAAAACAGCGAGGAAAAAATCTGCAAGAACATGGAGATCTTAAAAGGATACAAAGGAAAAGACTGAAGAGGAGCAAGAGGCAGCAAAGCCAATAAAACGCCACAACCAGTAAGAGCCTGGAGCTGTAAATAACCTTACACACACATGCTCAGAAACACTAACTCACCCTCTCTCGCACACACACACACACACACACACACACTGGCCCTGCATCCATGGATGACCGGTATTAAATGACACTCTGTTTTAGGCGAGGGACTCGCAGCTCATAAAGCGCTTACACACTCTCTCAGTGTTTGTGTAACCTTACGGTCCACTCCAACACCGCATCATATCCCACTTTTATTGTGCTCTGCCTTGCCTGCAATGGCCGAGTATGCGGAGTGTATAATTTCACTGTTGACCCTGCTGCCCTGTAAGAAGTGGCACTGAGAGAGGGAGGACTCTGGCTGGCTTTTCTAGCCAGTGCAGAGTCATTTGTTTAAGGAACGTTGACCTCTGAGACAGCCGGCTTGTGCTAGCCATGATGGAGAAGAATTATCGACTCTTAAAGTAGCACATCGTTCCCGGTCACCCAGCTGGTGCATGAGTGAGTGCTGAGGACCTTTCTGCCACCTCTGGCATCAGTGCTAACACTACAGAGACTCTCTACTGCCACTGATACTATGGAGATTCTGCTGCCATTAACACTATGGATACTCTGTTGCCACTAAGAATATGGAATTTCTGCTGCCACTAATATTACAGTGAATCTACAAGCATTAGTACTAGAGTCTTTTGCCACTAAAACTATAGCACTATATATATGGACCAACTAACACGGAACTCTCTACTGCCACTAATACTATAAAACACTGATGCCACTCTGCTGACAGACTATAAAGCTACTATCAATGTGAAGACTCTTTACTGCCATTAATTGTATGGACTGTGCTGCTACCAACATAATGGAGCTAATAATACTATGAAGACATTCTACTGCCATTTAAACTATGGAAACTATGGACTGCCTACTGCCACGAACATTATATAAACTCTGCAGCCACCCATGCTGGAGACTATGTTTCCCCTAACTCTAGGGAGGCTCTGCTGCCACTAAATCTGTAGAGACTCTCTAGTTCCAATGACCTTATGGAGGCTCTACTGCCACTAACACAATGTAAACTCTGCTGTCACTAACACTATGAAAACTCGACTGCTGCTCACACTATCAAGACTCTACAGCCACTAACTGTATGAAGGCACTGCTGCCATTAACATCAAGGGAATTCTGCTGCCACTAACACAGTGGAGACTGCTGCCATTCACACTGCAGCGACTCTACTGCCACTACAGTGTTACTACGTTTCCTTTGACCACCATGGTAGCAGATTGCATCATTAGTAAAATGATTCAGAATGGTTAAGTACCAAAGGAATGCTAGCTGTGTTTGTGCGTGTGTGTGTAATGAGGGAGTTATATTTGGCTCCATAACACCCCCATAGAAGAGACCTCTGCTTTGCCTGTAATTGGTGATAATGCATCAGCTTGAGAGAGAGGGTGTGACTCCTCAGATAGGGGAAGGCGGTCAACATGAAAAAGATCCCTCGCACGCGGCAGTAAAGCATCTCTACTGCACTGTTTACATTCATTTTCTCTAATTCCTTTTGTTAAGCAGGCCATTACTCCATTTAGCCCGGCAGAGCCGCACGCATGCAGACACACACAAAGGCACACACACAGAATACTACCAAGACCTCCTAGCATTCTCAGTTCAAAGCGGCTGTTTATGAACTAATTACAAGCACAGGCAATTTGTTCCGATCGATAGCACTTACAAGAGTTTAAGAACTGGAAAAAATATATACAGAGGGTGAGAGAGAGAGAGAGAGAGAGAGAGAGAGAGAGAGAGAGAGAGAGCGAATGAGAGAGAAGGAGAGAGAAGGAGAGAGAGACATGAAGGCTGAGGAATAAAACAAACAAATGAAAGCAAACTGCACCTCTGAGCTTTGGTCAAAGAAAACAACCATAATTACAGTAATTATGAATGCTATTGTTGATAATGCCCTGTGTTTAAACACATTCATTAATAAATACTGCTTTGATGGTGAAACCCAGTTGCCTCTAAACTGGTGACTAACTTGCTAAAGCTGTGTTTAACTACAAAGCTATTAATAAGTGACATAATAACTGCACTGTGCCCAGTCTTGCGCATGTCTCCGTCAGCAATATCTGTCTGATCTGTCTCTTATGACCCCACAGAGTGAGGTAAGGTACTCTGGGAAATGGAGTTCAATAAGAACGAGAGGGTTGAGGCGTGTAGGATGTGACTCCCCTCTTTAATTCAAGGGGATAATTAACTAAGTCCTCAAAATCTCTGGCTGTAATTAAACGCTCCTGCTGACGAGCAGGAGCAGGGATCAGACAGCGGAGACAAATAATAAACAACAAATAAAAACATCCTCATAAGGAAAACTGGGGGGGAGGCTGCCATGATGCAGACGAGCAAACACCAAGCACAAAAGGAGATTAATAAACGTCGATACGATCCTCTTATGTATTTAATATTAGCCAAAATTATATAAATGCAACCTAGATCTTACATTTTGTGAACCAATATATTTAACATCGCTGTCATAAGAAAATCTTGTAGCTGATTTTTTCAGCCTTTTTAATACCATTTGAAAATGCCAGCTGCCCTTTAAATTGTGTAAATATTTCATGATGAGTGAAGCAAGAAAAAGGTGAACACAGAACTTCTCCTGTAAAGTTACCCTATCTAAGATATGTTTTCTCACAACAGTGACAATATTTGTGTTATTATACAAAATAGCACTAAAAGGAGAAATTCAGCTTGATGTGGCTTGAAATTGACCTTGATGGAATTCGGTGGTGAAACATTTGTGGCACATCTCAAGGCCAAAGTGTTAACACATGAGAGTAAGGATATGTGTGAATGGCTGGGGAAGTTTGGTGCAGGGCTGTGGAGCAGACATTAGTGTCAGAGCTCATATAACAGGGCCAGTTTTAGGCAGCACCCCCCCAGCTCGGGTTTCATTATCTCAGGGGCTCGTTGGCCTGTGGCCTGGCCTTGCTGAGGGGGGTTAAACGGCCCAGACTGTAGCCACACTGGGGCTGGACCAGGGAACAGCTGCCCCCGGGGGGACCAGGGGGCCCCGAATAACCCCTGTTCAACCCCCTACCCACCTCTGTCTCTCTCTGTCTCTCTCTCTCTTTCTCACTCTCTCTTGCTCTCTAATTCCTGATGATTATCTCATTGTCCTGCCTGTTTCGGGATCAGATACTGAGCTTCCAGGTCAGACATGGAGTGACCGCATCACCTCTGCTATCAGCCATAGCCAGCCACACAGGAGATTAGGTACAACTTACACACACTCACTGATCCAGAGGAGTACAAACACAATCACCTAAAAATCCTCCCTACACACGGAATACAACCTCGCTGGGTATGTGTGTGGGTGTATATATATATATATATATATATATATATATATATATATACACATACATATATATATATATATATACACCACACATACACACAGTGATGGTAACCTGTGCAATAGAGGTGGGTTAATGTACGTATGGAGGAAAAGGGAGACAGGAAAGGAGAGGAAGGGTCGGGGACGTGTTGTAATGGTTTGAGATTAACAGGAGCTGGCAGCTGCCCCCTTCGCCCCTCTGATGGAGAAAGGATAAGGTTACAGAGAAAGACGGAGGAGAGAGAGAGAGAGAGAGAGGCTAGGTCATTCTCACACGATTTTCCTGCACTGAGTCCAGCTCTCACTGTTACAGCTGGGTGGGCTACAGCCAGCAAAGCATAGAGTAATGGTCAAGATGGAAGAGTGAGGCAATAAAAGGAGAGCAGGATTGTAGTGGAAGAGAGAAAAAAGGGTAAGAGAGTGACAGAGAGAGAGAGAACAAGCAAAAAAAAAAAAGGTAAAAAGGTCACCAGAGTGACAAGACGGATTAAGTTAGGGATGGGCGATATCACTGGTTCATTTTTTGATCTGATACCAAAGCTAGTATCCCGATACTGATACTGATAATGTTACTTTTAAAATGATTTTGGTGCAAATAAAAAATATTTGTGAATTCTAGAGTGAAATACAGCAATTGTGGACATGTATGGATTGATTATCAAAAGGAATTGTCGGTCTTAGAAATATTGATACTTCAGTTTCAAAAATATCAACACTTTATCAGAAATATTGACACTTTAGTGTTGAATATATATAAATTCTTCAGTATCATAAATATCGATACTTCAATATCAGAAATATTGATACTTCAAATTCAGACATGTCTACACTTCAGTATCAAAAAGATCTACAATTAAAAATCATAAATATTGACACTTCAGTCTCGGAAATATTGATGTTTCAATATCAATCGTCCCACCCTTAGACTAAGTGAGAGTAAAAATGAAAAAGAAACAGGAGTTTAAGAAAGAGCTGAGAATCAGGTCCTTTGGCACTCACCGGTGTAGACAAATCGTCCTGGCGCTCCTTTGCAGAACTGCTTGGACTTATAGGACAGGGTGACCTCCACCACTCCCGGAATGTGTCTGGGTGGGGTCTGCACGCGGATGGCGTGGGGCGTTATCAGCTGCCAGGGACCAGCAGGGCACAAAACAGTTAGTGCTTAGCCTGCCATCACACACACTCTGCTAACACATGCTAACCATGTTAGCTACTAAACACAATTACTACTATGATGCTAAATTAGCCTGTCAGCTAGCCACTTTCCTGTAACTCAGCAAATATACCCCCTCCACACACACATACACACACGTTTTGTTTGCCAGCAAATGGAGCTTGGCTCAGACTGACTTCAGGAAAAGCCAGGGGGCGTAAGGCTGGTTAAAATCACCTCCACATGGCTCTCTTTCCCTTCTCTCCATCTTTCTCTTACTGTTTTTTTTCCAAACATTTCACTCCTAATTGCTTGATTGTTTTGCAAGATCGCGCAGTTCGGCGCAGAATGCAACCAAAGCCCCAGTGGATACTGGGCTGCTTAGCATGCTCGGTTTATCTGATTCCTTATCTGCTCCTGTGATTAAATTGTATAAAATAAACAAACATATGCTGATTGGCTTTCAAGGGCCCTTGCTAAGAAATATGTGTGAGGAGACAACTCCATCAACATTCGTTAAAAAAAGGAGCACTATCATGAGTCCTGAAATTTGTATTGAGTGCAAGTTGACTGCATTAACTGTGAAGAAACTGAAATAGGAGCAGTGGCAGAATTGCAAATTATTAAAATGGGATTGTCCACTTCACACTGGATAAGCATATTTTTCCTGTGGCCAGTTCACTGCATGCACTACAAATATGATATCTTGTGAAGTAAAACATCTTAAATCTAGTCAATATATCTAATACTTATTTTATGAGACTGTTGTTAGTTAGATTATTCAGATTATTTTTAGATGTTTGTTACTTGTTTTAAGTAACTTTATCTGGCAAAATTATCTTATTTCATTGACACATAATTGGCACATAAGATTTTGGCTAATGTTACATTAAAACCATTGAACAAACAAAATATTTCTGTCTTCATTCTTATTTTTTTTTTCTTTTTCCACCAAGATTCACTCTATTGGCCAAGCACACTTACACTAATAAAGAATTTGTCATTTTATTTTTTTGCTTACACAAATAGACATAACAGAAAATTAACAGTAAACTACACTCTTTAAAGAAAGGTGCTACAAAGAGTTGTTTGAGCAATGCTGTTAAAGAACCAGGTTCGGTTCCCTAAAGAACTATGTTAAGATTTGTGTGTGTGAAGAATCTTCACATAATTTAAAAGTTCTATACCATTTTAACGGTTCTTCCTAGAGTCTTTATATTATTTGGAGGTTCTTTAAAATAAAAGTTTACAATGGTTCTTTATGGAAGTCTGGAGAGGCCATGAGCTATTGCTGTAATTTTCTGGATTGTTATCTGGAGATAACAAGTTAATTATCTTGTGATCTCAAGATAGCAACTTTGTTATATCGAGATCACAAAATAATTAACTTGTTATCTCAAGATATCTTTGTTATCTTGAGATCACAAGATAACTCATTGTCTCAAGATAACTTTTTTTTTCTTGAGATTACAAGATTATTAACTTCTGGAAAATTATAACTACCTTATAGCCTCTCTAGACTTACGTAATTCTTCCCACTCACACATATCATTTGCAAAAGTAGTTCTTTAGGCAGGTAAAAATAGTTCTACTATGGCATCAGGCAAAGAACCTTTTTGGAACCTTTTGGGAAAGAGTGCAACATTGCATCTCTTGACCATTTCCATTCTCCATAACACTAAAAATGGGTAGTACAAGTAGACCATTCTGGTGCATGGTGACCCTTACCTCGCTCCATACAAGCATGGTGCCGAACACGACCTGCAGGCCGTCAAAGAAGTTGTCCCCAATGAGGATGACCGTGGCTCCGCCTGTAGTCCACCCTTCACTGGGGCTAATGGCCTTTATGCATGGGGTAGCTGCTTATAACAGGAGAGAAAACACTCCGCTCAGCACCGTGCTTTATTATACACACACCCACACACACTCACTCATCACATAGAGAGAACACACACTGACTCCCTCACCGAGGGACAATTAAACTCAAAAGCAGACAAAACATGAATGATTTGGGCCACGCGGCAACAAAAGGGCACGGTCATATATCAGGCTGCTCTGCTTTTTTAAAGCGGCCATTAAAAGCATGAACGGAGGGAAAAGAGAAGCCATACGAGCCCTGCTGCACCGTGGACTCCTCAGGGCCAATATGGCTATCAGTGATGATTAAGGCCAGTGTACGTGCGGCAAAACAACTCCTCCACCCAGCTCTCACACATCTGACAGCGACCAATCAAAGGGTCGCCAAGCGACAATTGCTTCACTTTCTCCCTCACACACGTCTGCAAACACACTTGGGTGTGTGCACTAATTGGGTCGAGCCTCCCACAAAACTTCCAACCTTCTCTGTTTAATCTGTTCATCCTTTACACACAAGGTGCTGAAGGTCCTGCTGATCTCCTTGCTCTAACTACTAAACCTTGCACACCTAAACCTAAAAACAAGGTTCCTGAATGGTCCTTGGCTGGGAGGCACAGCTCCAGGAAGAACCTTTAATTGTTTTAACCCACTACGTTCTGTGGAGCTTCTGCACACATGTATTAAAGGCTGTTTAGCTAACAAAATGGGTTCTCTCCAAAGAACATTTTTGGGCACCTCTATGATTAAGAGTGTGATGAACAGAGGAGGTGCATTTAAACAGGGAGATCACCAACCTGTGCTGCACTGCAGCCTGACAGGACTGGAGTCGGCAGTTCCTGTGACAGGCCTGTATCTGACTGAAACTGGGTGAACCGGGTTACTGAGGTTGAGTCTCCAAGCAGTTTTGCAATGACATGAATTAGCTGATTTACTTTTCCGACACCACCTTTGTTGTCAGGGGTGACGGATCATTTGCATACGTTATTAGCATAGAGACTAATAGAAGACTGAACTCAAGACTGAAGCATGGAATTAATATTTTTTAACATGAGCCAAAGAACTAGCCTATAGATTTATAAATTCACATCTATATCTATATACATATGTATGCAAATGTTGAAGCACCCCTGGACAAATGAAAGGTTTAGCTGATTTTAAGAAAATGTCAACCTTCTCTACAGGAAACAAACTTAAATGTGGCATTTTCTGATCATTTTATTTACTGAATTTAACATTAGAAAAAACAGAAAATGTATAAGATGTGTCATAGCTTTTGCACAGACCACCTTTTATTTGTTTATTTTTGATTGATTTTCAAAAAAAAAGGTAAATTCAGCAAATAAACAGTAACTGTGCATTAAAATGTGCAGAGGTAGAGGAGGTGTTAATGAATTTTTTTACTTAAAAAATCATCAAAACATTTGACAATTTGAACATGTGACTTTATGCACATATATTCTTGGTATGATTTCATTAACGTACCCATTCTGTTGTATAAAAATTGAAATGCTTAATGCAGCTAATGACACTTAATGATTCCACCTGTTTCCCAGTCAAAACAATCCACATAAACTTTACTCGACTTTACTTAAACTTTACTTAAACTTTACTTTATAATTCTATGTTAATTCTGTGCTGATTTGAATTCAACCAATCAAATCGCTTCCTACAAGCTGTGACAAAATCATTGTTTGACTGATCTCTGGCCGCACCTATCAAATATATATATATAAATATGCTTTTGCGGTCCATGGTGCAAAGGGCCAATGCTACTGCCGTCCCCGTCCCTCTGCTCTTTCATCATCCCTCCCTCCCCACTGTGTGATGGACAGACCTCCTCTGGCCCCTGCACAGCAAGTCTCAAACACGGGCTGCTGTAAAGATGTACGCTTTAGCCATGATATCCAGCACTCGTCCTCTCATCTCTCTATCTCACCCACTTCATCACTTTTTATTCATCTTTCTCTCTTTCTCTCCTTCACTCATTTCTTTCCCTCCCACCATGGCTGTGTTATCGTCGAGGTGGGAGAAGAAGACAATGGCCCCTCGGTCTCCTCCTGCTCTCTGCTCTGTTCTCACAGCAGGCCGGTTAATAATGCACAGGAGATGCTGGGCCTTCCTGTAAAAACCCTTTCAGAAGCAAATCACTGCGGACCCTCGGAGGTGACATCATCAACCCTGTCCCGTTCTTAGAGTTATAGCTTTATTAAGCTGGCAAGACAGTTTATGATTGTAGAAAAAAAAGATGTGGAAAATAAAATTCATGAATTAAAATGTGTGTAAAAATCTAATGTATTACTTATGTGTTATATAGTCTAATATATTATTTTAATTAAATTAATAATAATAATAATAATAATAATAATAATAATAATACCTAATGTGTATAATTTACAGCTATTTAAATTGAATAATTGACTAATTACATGTTTTCTTGGATTTTCCAAGTGAAAATCAGTTAACACATCTTCTACAGGGAAGAAATTTAATAATGCTGTTTTCATTCGAATGCTCGTACACAGTTTCTATCTATTTGTGTGAGTTTAACTGACCGGAAAAAATACAAATAAAATATAAGATGTGCCATAACTTTTGCACAGGTCACTTTTTCCCAATATGTTAAATTCAGCAAATAAACAGTAACTGTACATTAAAATGTGCACAAGGGTGTTCTCTGTAGAGGATGTGTACTTTTTTTCACTTAACCCAAACTTAACCCAAACTTCTGCACATGGCTTTCAATATAATAATTTAATTAACTCTAATTTGAATGACTTCACTGAATTGCGAAGTGTGATAAGGCTGAGTATGATAAGATCTGTGACTGAGTAGTTTGTGTGGGCAGGTTCAAGTGTCTCTCTCTCCCTCCCTCTCTCTCTCTCTCTCTCTCTCTCTCTCTCTGCGTCAGTCTGTGGGCTGTACAGCCAGGCCTAGTTAATCACCATTAGGTATTGTTGTGTAGAACAGGCCAGACAAGGCACCTCTCTTTGTTTGCCTTAATGTTGGACTAGTGGAGGTTGTATTTGCTCATTCCTCTCACATCTCCCAGAGCAGCAGAGGCCCCAAGCACTCACACACACACACTCTCACACACACACACACACTCACATACACACACACTCACACACAGGGAGCTTGCCCTTAACTAGAGCTGTTGACTTCATGCTAATAAGTTCATACAAATTTTCATTTCTGAGGCTTGCGAGTGACATTTGCTTTTCTTAATTGCAGGCAGAGTGCTTGAAAGCGGATCAAGTCTCAAAAGACAGACGCGGCTCCTCAAAGGGACTGACCTTCATCAACACTTCCAATTATAGCAAATCATTCACCAAAAATTACAGTAAACAAATTTACTTTGTGTAGGTGAGCAGAAGGGAGGCAAAGGGGAGGGGCCTGTGTTTGGGTGCGCGTGTGTGTGGGAGAGGTAAAGGCAGACCCACAGGAGGGGCCGGCTAGCAGCTGCGGCCAGAGACCACTGCACATTGCCTCGGAATTTGCAATGACTCCCCCATCAGAGAGAGAGAGATAGAGTGAGAGTGAGCAAGAGAGACTGCAAGCTGCCAGCCCCTCTCCCTTCTGCCACGCTGCATTTGCATACACTTTCAATGCACATGTAGTGGGGTAACATGTGTTGAATGGGAAGGCATAGCAAAGCGAATTACACACACACACACACACAGCCTGCGCTAGTGATCTAATGCTATACACACACAATGTGCTCCAGCAGATGATGGAAACTGCAGGGAGAGCACACACGCAGGCCAAGTTCAACACAGCACCAGGAAGAGGCAGAAAGGAGAAGAGTTTAGCCAGGGGATCACTTTTTAGCAAATAAACACGGCATGTATTTTTATTAGAAGAGCATTTTTTAGCATGGGATCATGGCATATATTATTAGTAGAGGAGCATATTTTAGCAAAGGATCATGATGCGTGCTTTTAGCAAGGGAGCACTCTTTAGCAAGACAACGTGATGAGTGCATTTTAGGTGGGGAGCACTTTTTCGCAAGGAAGCGGAGTCTGTGTTTTTAACAGAGGAACACTTTTTAGCAAGGGAACACTGTGTATTTTTTAGCAGACAAACACTTTTAGGAAGGGAATGCTGTGTATCCTGTGTTTGTAGCTGTGGGGCACTTTTAGGCAAGGGAATGTGGCATGTTTTCTTCAAGGACAGCATTTTTCAGCGAGGGGAACACTGTAATTTTAGCAGGGAAACACTTTCTAGCAAGAGAACATGCAGTGTACTTTTAACAGCACTTTTTAGCAAGGGAACACTGCATTTTTAGCTGTGGAGGGAACACTGTGTGAGCTATTATAGCATTGGAACTCCTTTTAGCAAAGGAAGACTGTATGTTTTAGCAGGGGAAGTTTTTTTGTGTGGGGATGCTTTTAGCAAGGAAAAATTGTGTGTCTTTTTAGTGGGAGAGCACTTTTTAGCAGGAAAGACTGTGTATTTTATTAACAGGGGAGCACTTTATAGCAGGCAGTACAGATTAGAGTTTGGAACCGTGCCACATTCTGGCTTCTGTGTTTTCGAGTACAGTGGGGTATTTCCTTAAGTGTGTGATTACAATGAGAGGGAGTGTGTGTGTGTGTGTGTACTTGAAGAAAAAGACATTACTAGATATTTTAGGTATAAAGCTTATTTGTACCAGTAGCACATTTCAAAGTACTCCTTACTCTTTGTTTTTTAGGTTTCCTCTGTCATCTTTGCTTTTTGAGTATTTTAACTTTATTCTTTGTATTAAGGTACTTTTTATTAGTCTCTGTTTTCCAGTGTTAATCCACAAGACCACACACGTGATTTGTGTGTGTTTCACCACCACAAACTCGTCTCAACCGCATATGTCACACTTCGAGAAAATCACTGGCTTTGTGCAGTCTGTCTTTCTTCCACCTCTCACTGGTGTGTGTGTGTGTGTGTTCTGGCCTCCTGCCGCCTTCCCATGTGTATTGTTTTCCTGGTGTGACGCTCTAATCAGAAACGCAGCCTCTTCCATGGCAACATGGCTGCCGCTGTTGTGTTTCCTGAGTGTGTGTGTGTATGTGTGTTTGTCACCTTCCTCCTTCTCCCCCAATATTGAAGCACTCGAACAGGTCCCATCCTGCCTGCTGCTGCCTCTCTTTGTTGGGCCGGCGGCACAAACGCGGCGCGATAGTGGCGGGGACGGCCAGATGGCAGGCTGATCCCGGCGCTGATGGGATTAGAGCTGTACCTCGCTCGTGTGTGCGCGCGTGTGTGTATATGTGTGTGTGAGTGTGTGTGTGTGTGTGTGTGTGTGTGTTGCCCATCTGGCCCCTTTAACAGGCTACAGCCCTGCAGACGCGATCCGCTTGTCTTTATTGCATAAACCTAACAACATTACCGCCACTTGGTATGCAAATGGAGCTGAAGCTGCAGGCCTTCAACACACAGTGGAGAGAGTGATAGAGAGAGAAAGAGAGAGATAGATAGAAAGAGAGGGAGAGAGAGAGAGTTCACTCTCTTACTGAATGTCATCTCTCTTTCTCTTTCACCTTTTCTTCTCTCTGTTCCACTATTTCATCGCTGTCCAACGAAAACCATGTATCTCCATTTTTGTCGATTTTCAATTTTCTACATCATTTTAACACACCAGCTGTCCTTTATGTTGTGTGAAAATTTCATGATAAATGCACCAATAGAAATGCTTTAAAATCACTTGGAATGAACCCTCTTTACATTAACTTACTTTGAAATGTAAGAGTGTTTTTGCCTTCCCCTGTAAAGTTACTATTTTGGAGATACTTGTTTTTCTTTGGACAGCAACAGTTTACTGCTCTCTCTGGGTTTGTTGGCTGCATCTCTTCCTATACAAATCTATAATGCTAAAGACTTTTAACTATTTAAAACTATTTAGGATTAAATGTGTTTTTGCTACAGTAAAAATCATTATGGCATTAGAATAAATACATGTAAATATAGCAAAACGTAATAAGTAAGTTATTAAGATATTGGCTAGATTAATACATTTTGAAGAACACACTCCAGCCATTGATTTAATGTGTTAAATTTCATCAGCAGCACCTGATTTAATTTGATGAGGGGCTGATTAGATAAACAAGATATTGGATGGTAGCTGTACATACCGGACTTCCTCAAGAAGAGCATTGGTAGTGTTTAAGCTAATACACTTACACATGCCCAATTGCAATGTATTGTTAATTTATTCAGATTTTTTCTAACATTAATGTTTAATGAATAACAGTGAGCAGCTGTATGTAAGAGGTTATCCACTATAAATATCTTTGAAAATCATTTTCACAGATGCCTTGGACTTTTGTACAGTACTGAACATTTTCATATGATCCCATATACATAGAAGGGGTATATCAAGGTGGTTCTAATCCAAGAACCCCTCCAAATATGAGGTGCTTTTGCTCTCCTTGTTGGCCAGGTTGCTGCGAGCAGCTGTATGTAAGAGGTTAGCATGGTTAGCTGAGCAGTACAGTCCACAGGGGCAGCAGTAGAGGAATTACTTTTACTTGAAGATCAGAAGCCAGAGTAAATTCACTGTCTGAGAACATTAGCCCATATTAGATGATTAGATAAGAGCGTTCGGGGAAGAGGAGAGAGTGTCTGATACACAGAGCTTCTCTCTCTCTCTCTCACTCGCTTGCTCTCTCTCATAGTGCTTATCACTTTCGGAAATGTGCTTCTAATCTCAAACACCCTGCCTTCTATAGCTCTGAACCTGAGTGCGTATATGGATGTCAGTACAGTTCACGACTGTACATGTCCTACACACATACACACTCCCTTCCACACTCATATCAGAGAGGAAAAGAGGTGTTATCATTTTGTGCCTTGTGATCCATTTCTTGTTGAAAAGTAGTCATGCCAATAAAGCAGGCATCAAAAGTCGTAGATAAGAGCTGAGAAGTCGAAGACGCCAGCGTAATATTTCAGTGAAATTAGCGGTGGTAATTACAGAGTTAAGCTGAAAGTGAAGGCTCATGCTGAATGACAGTCATAAGTCCAAAGTCGGATCTTTTTTCCTCTCCTCCGTGGTAACTGTTCCCAGTCCGCTCTTAAAGCCCCTTATTAGGAGGCTAGTGGCAATATCTGCTCGGCCCAAATTTGACGTCTGGGGCGGCTGAAACCCCAGGTAGCTAAGTGGTGCGAAAGGAAGCGGGTGTGTGTGACAGTGTGTGTGGGCGTTTTAAGGAGGAGGTGAGCTTTTAAAACTGTTGGGAATTTTTTTTTAAGACTTGTCAAAACATCACTATGGCGCACAATGGGGCAGACAGGTTCAGGGAAAAAAAAACACCCAAACTGAGATTAAAGTGACTCAAACTGGGTGAAATGAGTCCTGTTTTTAGGTCATAATGACTTCCTTGACACAAAAAATACAATAACTGAAATTAATTTGTCATGAAATAAACAGATATTAGGTGGATAGAGGCTGATAAATTGAGGGCTCTAGAAGTGCAGTAAAGAGAGCGCTGCAAATTGGCCTTTGAAGGCTGGTAGCCCCAGCGGTGTAAGGGCTGGGCTTCTCTCTCTCTCTGTTTCTCTCTCTCCCCCGGGATGTAGTGAGGCGAGGGGAGAGGCCTGAACCTTCTTAATTGCTCTCCTAATTAAAGGCGGTTGCTAAGCAAAACACACCTACCATCAAACCAGCACAGAAGAGACAAACAACACGTCATGGGGCCAAATGGCTCCAGCGCTCAGGGCACACACGCTCAATTACTTTATTTTCATTCTGCCCCTGTCATTAATAAAAGAACAAAAAAAAGAGACCCTAAAAACAAATAACTTAGTGTTCTCTGCCTCACTAGAGTAGGGGATTAATATCCTTTTGGTTGCTTCATTATACATTACTGGGTTAGTTGATATGGTAATTACTGCTTGATTAAAACAAAGAAAATACAAATGTTATGTTTTTAAACGTGTGCGGCCCGTAACGTTGAGTTGTTTGTACGAGTTCTTTGCCCAGCAGTCTAGCAGCCTCAGCCTTACAGTGACTAGTAAAAACTACTCTTAGCAGCATTAACTGATACATCATCAGTGTTTTAAAGTCTTCAGACCACACATACATGTACATCATCGCTCTCATAATAAAACCTCATATTTCAGAAATAGTACTTTTACATGATAATGGTAAAGAAGTGAACTGACTTTAATGAAAGGCAAGATAATAATTTTGGTCACGCTTTATTTGAATGATCCCCTATAGATGATCCACAGATACTTATGTTATTAACAAACTTTCTGGTGATACTCAGTTGATTACCAAAAACATTAAGGTTAGGGTTTGGAATAGGAGTAGGTGTAGGTTTTGTCTTAAGGTTAGGATTAGGGTTAGATGTAATAGATCCTTTCACGCACAATATTCAAGTTCAGTTGCATTTAATAGATATTTAGTTGAATGTAGGTTAAAGATAGACTGAGCATCTACATGGCATCTACAGTGGACCATCCAAATAGTGCTACCATAATTAAGAAATTTTGGACTATTTCTATTGGTCCATTAATTTTGAAATGTTCACATAGTGTGAACGTCAGTTTTCGAATGGTCTAAAAAAACTAAAGATGGAAATATCGAGGTGTTGATGTGATATCAATGATATTGTACACAAAATGTCAGACAAATCAATCACATATGTTGTCTCTACAATAGTATAGTCTGATAATAAAATGCACCACTATAATTGGAAACAGTGCACATCAACTACACATAACTCTTGTTTCACCTTTTGTTGCAAAAAAAGACCAAATAAAACGTGGCCCAACATCATTCATGATAAGTGAGAATAATCACATAATAATAATAATAATAATAATAATAATAATAATAATAATAATAATAATAATATGAAGGATGGAGGAAGCAGGTAGCAACATAGGGGAATGAAAACTAACCCATGTGCTCTACAGGTGAAATGGTGTGTGAAGGAGAAAGAAAGCCAGGAAGACACTGTGAGCACTAAAGCTGACTAACACCTAAACTAGTCTTCATTCACCTCTACACTACACTAGATACTCAACTACAAACGAAAGAGAACGATGGAGAGGTGGCCAAACAGGGGAAGAAGAGGGAAGGAGAAAGACAGAGAAAGAAGAAAGAAGTGGGAGAGGCGCTGCAAATAATAATTTCATGTAAAATGTGCCTACCATTCTCCAGATAAGGAGGGGCCGTACCTTCAGAGGGGTCAAGACGGCGAGCCCTGCGACCGTGTTTGGAGTTGTTGTGAACGAACATGTTGTCCGAAACGGCCAACACGTGACCGTCCACGTTAACTGTTGTCGATATAACGACCTGGAAAGAGAGTCAAAAGGCAGCATGTCATTAAATTCTTGATGGATTATCTAAATGGATTATTACTCAGTTATTAACCTTAAAATTGACTATTACTCAGTTATTCAGTAACTGTTATGTGAGTTGTATAGTTGTAAGAGTGAAGAGCTGAAATGTGACCCACATACAGACCCTTGCAGTTTAACACTTCATACTGCAGGCCTGTTGTTGTTATTATTCACTAATTAGTATGAATTATTTGACATGGCCTACGTAACTACTATGTAATTACATAGTAAAGAGAGCACATTGAAGTATAGACACATATACAGGCCTTTAGGTTTAAAAGTATGTGATTGTGTTTGTGCATAGATATGTGTTCTTGAGGCACTAAACAGAAGTCATTCAAAGTAATTTAGAGCTGGAGAGAACAGCAGGCCTGTCCCAAGGCTTGCTATCAGACGCTCTTTCTCTCTTTGTTGTAGCCTTGTTTGTGCGCAACACAACATAACAAAGGCTGTTCCACTTATAGTGGCAGACTCAACATTAGGGTGAGATCTGTGTGTGTGTGTGTGTGGCCCAGTTAGCAGATGAGCCCATGCTATGTTATTCTTCTGATCAGCAGGGTTTTTTGTGCACATATATTCAAGTACATATAAACAAACACACACACACAAAAACACACACAAACAGTTTTTTATGGCTCTGTTTGTTTGACTTTTCCCCCATTTTCCACTGCACTATATGAGCTTTATTTTGAATGCTGTAAAGCATGGCAGTGCTCCACACCTTACACACAACAAAAGCGAGCACATACACATGTCGTGGACACTGGGCACTGCAGTGAGACCCCCAAAGCTGCTGTTTATTTTCACAGAGGGACAGGAGCCAGAGAAAAGATGAAAAAAAAGTTGAGTGATATGCCTTTTCCTTTGGTTTAGCTCATTAAGACAATAAATTAGACTGCACCAGTGAGAACGGTACCCTATGTTTACACTTTGAGTAGCACGGTCAGGATCTACATTGGAAAAAAAAGTGATGCATTGAACTGACTTCATTTAAGCATGTATGTAATTTCTACATGAATAAAAAAATTACATCAACACAATTTGGTCTTTCAGTGCTTACTTATGGCAATAACTGTGTTGATGTTGATGTTCAAGTCAATTTACTTTATCAGGTGCTAATGGCCTCTTCTAGACTAGCCTTCATCCTGTTGTTTCACTATTTATTTATTTATTTACTTTTCACAGATCTATATTGCTAAACCTTGTATCTCAATTTCTGTTATTTTTCAGTTTTTGACATATTTTGAAAAAGTCTGCTGCCCTTTACATTGTATTTAAATTTCATGATGAATGGACCAGAAGAAATCCCCAAAAATGACTTGGAAAAACACCTCGTTCCATTGACTTACATTAAAAGTAAAGTATGTTTTTTCCTTCTCCTGTTAAGTTATTATTTTGGAGATACAAGGTTTTGTTTTGACAACAGCAAAAAACTACTTTCAATTAATTGTCATGAACAACACTCTTTAAAAAAGAAAGAAATAAAAAGTGCAACAAGATGTTGTTTATGTGATGCCATCGAAAAAACAACCTTTAAAAGGTTCAAACAGCCTTCAATACCAATGTAAGACCCCCTTAGTTTTAAGAGTACAACAAGTTAGGGGACTCATTTTCTTTCGTCAGATTTACACTTCTGAAGACAATGATTGTGATGGAGAGTTTTACAATGGCAGCAGTTGAGAGAAGTTAATAAACATTGCACGCTATCATTACATGCCCGTAGGACACATCCATCATTTCATATTTCATTATTTTCCAAAAATGGAGTGCTGAACTACCACCCCCCCCTTACCCACCCCACAGAATGTCACAGCCTCTTAATGAAGCTGAACAATATTTAACGTTGTCTATTCCTGGAGCCCAACTGCGGTGGGTCCATATGTCAAAAAAGAGAAGATTCAATGCAATCATGCTATATAAAGCAGATTCAATTTCTTGTTAGAGAGCTACAATTAACCTCTGTTAAGGAGAAGAGCCTTTTTTTCCCTGCCGTTGAAGGGTACACTCGGGCAGTTACGAGTGTGTGTGCTTTAGATAAAGAACTACGTGCGAGGGTCTATCAAATACCTGTCGCTCAAACACAGGCTGCAATTCTGTAGTGCCCGGCCCTTTTTTTACAAAGCCTGGGGCCAATTAGGCATTAATCTGGCACTTAGGTGAACAGAGAGAAAAGAGAAGAGGCACTCGTCTGCTCTTTCAGCCGTTAACAGTCTCTCAAAACGCCGCCCGCAGCCCTGCCGCTAATGCTAGCCCATCTGCATTGATCTATTGATATATTGATTAGCTGTTTTCTCTCATTAGTGGCAGTGAGAGTCAGTGCAGTGAGGAGATGGGCATTGGTGGGGGTGGGGGGTGGAGTGGAGGGGGCCTCTTGAAAAAGAAAGAAAAGAAGCGCTTTAGCGAATTAGCAGGGTTTGAATTAGCAAGCGCTTTTCTGTGTTTATCTGTTTACCACACAATCCGGGCTCATACAGAAGCACTTAAGAGTGATCTGAGGATGGGACGTTTAGCATTTGAATAGAGATGGAAAGGAGGGGGTGAATAGGGAGAGAAAGAAAGAAAGAGATAAGGAAAGAGAGAGAGAGAGAGACAGAGATGGAGGGACATGGAAAGAGAGAAAGAGAGAAAGAAGGAAAGAAAGAGAAAGAGAGAGAAGGGAATGAGAGAGAGAGAGAGAAAGTGAGAGAGAGAGAGAGAGAGAGAGAGAGAGAGAGAGAGTAGAGAAAGTAAAGCTAGCCTGACACTAGCGATCCATAGCTAACTCTCTCTCTCTCTCTCTCTCTCTTTCTGTTTCTCTTTCTCTCTCTCTCCCCCTTTCTCCCTCTGTAAGTATGATGGATAGGCCGTGCTCTGGCCCCCAGCTGCCGGAGCGAGGGATGAGGAAGAGAGGAGCAGGAGAGGGGAAGAGAGGAACACTGAAAGCATGACCTTGCCACGGGATCTCGCTGGACAGAAACACGTGTGAAATTTATTCTGGAGATGGCATTTAGTTAAACACGGAGCCTTCAGGATAAGAGACAGAACCACACTGGTGCAGACAGCTCAGCTTTTACAGCCTCTCTCTCTATCTCCCTCTCTCTCTCTCTGCTCGGGGTAAAAAAACCTCCAAACTTCTGTTAGTCTGGGTTTGTGAGTGTTCATAGTAAATATATGTTTGGTCTGAGAGTCAAATAGAGTTACCAAGGCTAAAGGAAAAACATGTTTCTCCCACAAGTAGAACAAATTTTGACATAAGATAGTGTTAGTTAATATCAGGCTGGGATGTAAATTATGATATGTGAAAAAAAACATAGAAAAAAAATTGTATTTGGCATTACATTTTAATACTCATTCAGTGCTGTCATATTTCTTAATTACATTAGGTTTTATATTATCGCTGTTGTGAAAAACCTCAAATCTCAGATGTCATCATATCTTGAACTTCAAAATAAAAAAGGTGATTCTTTTTCAAGTGAAATATTAATGCTGTGTTTAAATCAGTTAGTGGTCCTGCCAGTAAGTGGCCTGAGAGAGAGAGCCATCAAGAAGAGACTGTTGCTTTCATCAATCTGGTTCACAAATTCAAAAATCAAAAACCCTGCAGTCTATTTAAACTGACTATAAGTAACAGCAATGCTGGAGCAATGCGCTCAGACAGAAGGTGACATTCTCTGAGTCGCTCTCTGGGTTTAGAAAGGCCATAAGTATGGGTCCCCTCTCCTCTCTCTGAGCTGGAGGTGCTGAGGCAGCTCCTGAGGAAACACTGCTGAGGGCTCTGACGTTCTGTTAAGACCACTTAAACCTTCAGGGAGGAGAGGAGATTAGAGAGAGAGAGAGAGAGAGAGAGAGAGAAACCCACTGGCTCCATTGTGCAGTGGCACATCAGTGGTGACGGATGTTTCTTTTAGTCGCTGTGGAGACAGAAAGGACACTTCCTCTCACTTCAGCTCTGACCTTCTGCTCTGGACGCATGGATCAATATCATCCACTGACCCTCCACCACATGAAAAATGAAAAGTCCACCACCGACACCCGTTCAAGGCACTTCTCTCTGGTGTATGTCTATATATCCCAAGTGTATCTAGATCTAGAACCTAGAAGGAAGCCAAGGCAACTGACCCTGTATGTTTACCACTGAGTTACCCATGAAAAATCACAGCCAGCTTCTAAATGTAGGTGTTACTTTTGTATCGTTAGTTTGGATTGATGAATTGTTTTAATTCAGTACTACATATGATTCAGTAATATGACATTTATGTAATAATGTAGGAATGACTGTGAGGGAGTGAAAGTGTTAACACATTAATTTAACACAGTTTATTTATGTTTATTGAGTTTGAGCAATGAATGCAAGTGCATCTAAAAACAGTTTTACAGAATGTTTTTTTTTTTTTTAAGTGTGAAATGTGGTAGGGAAATGCAGTGTGCAGTGATTTGTATGGTCATTGGTAGTGGCTCTGAGTGTATTTAGAGCAGTGAAGCAAGATGCTACAGCAGGTGAATCAGTTTTTTCCCCACTTTTTCCCAAGAGAGGAACTCTCCCACTCTATATCCTCCCATCCACCTGCTTTACAATACCATAATACAGAGTGCTGCAGCCCATCTTTACTTCAGAATGAGCTCTGTACGTGTGAGTTAGAAATACTGACCTGGAACCGGCGCATGTCTCGCGGGTTGCCTGCATTCTTCAGGCAGTTTTGATTGCACTTGAGGAAGAATTTCAAAAAGAATCTGTAAGAGATCACAGAAGGGAAAAACTCCACGTTAGACAATCAATCCCAAACTGAGCGCACACACAAATACACTCTTACAAACTCACACAGGACAGATCAATGGCATAGCGTATAAACATGGACTTCACGACTCCTTCCCAGCTGAGGGGAAAAACTCCACAATTTGTAAAAAAGAAAAACAACTGCTCAAGTTGTAAAGCTGTGAGTTGTAAAACCACTGGCACCAACACTTAAACACTTAAACCTCAAGCTGACAGGCTGAATCTATACGTTCACAAAGTGAACACACATACACTTGTTTTGATACAATTTCAGGCCACAAAGTAATATGCACTGTGTAATACATATATGTATATGGACTCTTTCGCAATGTTATGTCCTTTATGAAATACATATGTATGTGCATATATGTACTAATAATACATTACATACATATTATATATATTTACATTGTATGTAAATTTCATGATAAATGGACCAAAAGAAACGGCTCAAAATTACTTAAAAAAAAGTCTGGTTCCATTGACTTACACTAAAACTAACATATGTTTTTTTCTTCTCCTGTTAAGTTCCCATTTTGGAGATACAAGGTTTTGTTCCAACAGCAGCAATATATTAAAAATAATACAATAATGTTATGTAGGTCATTTATGAGTAATGACATATATTATCACTGTCATACAAAAACTGCACATCTCGAAGTTGGTCTTTACATGGTGTAAAAATACTTGGAAACAATCTTCTTACATTAACTTCCATTACAAGTTAAGAATGATTTACCATTTTATAGGATTTGTTTAGAAGGGTTAAATCTAACCCTAAAAGAATTTTTCGAAATCTAACCCTAAAACTAACCCTTACCTTAAACCTGACCAAAAATTGTTTAACCATTAAAAACACAAACACATTAAAAGAACACAGGTGTGTTTGTAAAAAAAAACTTTGCAAGGTCAGGGCTGCCTTGGTGGTCCTGATTTTGTATGATTTCTAGAAAGTGAAGATATTTTTGTCCTGAAAACGTACAAAAAAAACCAACGCACACACACACACTCTCTTTCTCTCTCACACACACAGTAATGATGATCAGTGTTTTGTTCAGAAGCCTCCCCATGGATGTCTCTCAGAATGGTCTGTCTGTCCATCTGATGCATACAAATCCCACAATTCCCTTTAGAACCCATCTGTCCACACTAACAGGAAGTAGGCAGATATTTTGCCCCCCTCGATCTCTTTCTCTCTCTCTCTGTCTCTTTCTCTCCCTCCCTCCTCTTCTTTCTCTTCTGGAGCTCCACCCTGTAATTAAAGCGAAGCAAAACGAGCGCACCTGAGCCCCCCTCATCATCGGGAGACGCTTGAGCACTTAACAAGGTGAGAGCTAAAACTTCCAGCTCCGTCACACAATTAGAGCAAGGCCAGCAGCGGCCAGCAATTACAGCACAAATTACAACCCACCTAATCTGCTCGGCAAATGTCATGTGTGTGTGAGAGTCAGGGCGGGTCCCTCTGGGCACCAACACACACGAACACATGGACACACACCCATACACTCAAACACCTAAACCTAATGCCTGTGTGAACAAATAAGTGTGGAACAAGTGGATCCACCCGGTCTCTCTTGTTTTTGTTCCAATAATGTTCTTTCAGATATCATCACTTTTCATCTGGTTAAGAGGTGTTCGAGCAAGAGAAACCATGAAGAGAGGGATTATGGAGGAGAGAAGAGGCTTACACTCTCTTCTCTCTCTTTTTAAGAAGGAATTGTATCCTTAGCAGTCTAGAGCTATTCTTTTTTTGTTTTGCAACACGTTCATGTTACATTACACAGTTACTACTACGTAATTACATAAGTAATTACATAAGTAATTACATGATAGTGTAACAATTCTGTGTTTTGATTCTGTATCAACAGATTAAGGTCTGCATTTCTGATTTTTTCTGCTTTTGTTTTGAAGCCAAACAATGAAAAAAACAACAAAAATGTAAAGTATGTTTTGTTTTTGCAAAAAACAGGACTGTACACAACAACAACCTTTCTTAAAATTAAAATGCTAATAAAATATCTCCTCTTACACTTATTACACAAATTTGGTCTTGACTTAAAGTTTAAAACCCACTTTTTCAACCAAACATCTCAGCTTGTTTCAATAAGCTATTAGTGAAGAATTATGGGACAAAATGTATTTAGAGTTTTGCAGGCCCAAAAGCTTCATCTCAAATGTGCTTTATCCTCACACACACTCATACTTGCATTGAAATAATGCTACTTCAGTGCACCATAAAGAATATCCAGCAATGGCTGTAGCCTTACATATGGATGTCCATGTACCCAAATATTTGCCTCTCTGAGTGTCAGGTTAGCGCGCAGCTGCTGCACACGGGCCAAGGTGTCATGCATTGCTGATTGCATCCAGAGCCGTGCGGCGTTAACACATGTACCGCAGTGGCTGTGGGCAAACAGGCGGGGGTCCGGGACGAGCTTTCTGCGCCTCGCTCTCCGACGGGACCCTGGCCAGAGCCATAAATCACAATGTGAAATGACACCCGTAACCCTGAGCACCTCTACACTACCCAGCCTCATCTGTTTACATTCTGGCCTTTCCGTCCTGACAGAAGGGGTGAGAGAGGGAGGGAGAGAAAGAGAGAGAGAGAGAGAGAGAGAAAGAGATGTATGATAGAGACAAATGGACAGAAAGATGGAGAGAGGACAGAAAGGAAGCTTAAAAGAGAATGAAAAAGAAAAAAAGAGAAAAAGTGGCCTTGGTAGGTGTCAGAAAAATTCGTTGTTGGCTATCATCAATGAAAAATAAAGTTCATAATGCCATCCGCAGGCCTTGTAGGACCATCACAGAGGCTGTAAAAGACACATCCACTTCAGCTTTAATTGTGTACAGTGTGACAGTATTTGTGTGTGTGTGTGTGTGTGTGTCTGTGTGTGTGTGTGTGTGTGTGCAGGGCAGTGTGTGTTTGGACACACAGGGATGAGTATTATGGGCTGTAATTCTCGGACCCTGTCCTTATTTCCCCATAGAGCTGTAATGTTTCCACAGCAGGTATCAGGCCAAATCACAGCTGATACATGAGCCTCATTCACTCTCTCTTTCACTGCCAGACAGCAAACAAACAGCCTTACACACACACACACACACAAATACTCTCACACACACACACACACAAACACACACACACAAATACACACTCACACATACAGTTTGCTTAATACAATACAATGTAGGTACATATATCTTTTCCATATTTCCTCATATGTGTACCTAATAAGAATAATCTAACATAAATAATATTAATATGAAGTTTATCTATCTATCTATCAATCTATCTATCTATCTATCTATGTATCTATCTATCTATCTATCTTTTGCTAAGAGTAAACGCATATTTTCTACAAATTTTCTAAAAAGAACCCTAACAGGCTCAGCAACCAAAAGTGAACATGATTGTGTCCTTTAATTATAAACATTTCTTGTGGAAAAAAAAGGCTTTTTGAAAAATGCACTATAAAATCATGACTATTCTTTCGGACATTGTTCGCCTTCAAAATCAGGACATTTGTATCCTGAAAATGAATAAAAACAAACACATAAACACTCACTTTGGCTCACTTTTATGTTCTTGTCAAGTAGTAGAGAAAAAAAAAAATATAATTAAGAATAAAATTTGTCATTCACCATGGAAAAGAAGTACATAAAAAGAAAAAAGAATGAAAAAAAGACCCTGAGGCAGTTCATAAACCATAAATACATTCCACACACAAACAACACAGACACGCGCATATGCATAAACACAGTCACTGTCAGAAAAATCCTGAATTCTGACATTTACATGAAACACAGGTGATTTCTACGCAAGTGAAATAACTAAACAGAGTGCATTGTTACCAAAAGTCTGTTTTATTATGAATATTTATACCAGTGCAATGAAACACACACACACAATGACTCCCTCATTACGGCTCTGTGTGTTTGTCTGGTGTCTGCTTCGTTCTCAGTAGTTGATTAAGCAAAGCTGCTCTGCTATCTAATGAAAATCATCTTGGGCTGCCGTCCACAACTCTGCCATAATATCAGCCGAATTAGGAGCCATTTCAATTCTACATGGGGATCCAGGAAATTGCTCCTTTGTGAGCGGGTGAGCAATTATGACCCCACGTTGCTTGCTTCTCTCTTTCTCATTCTCTCTCTCTCTCTCTCTCTCTCTCTCTCTCTCTCTCTCTCTCTTCTTCTGAATCTCTCTCTCTTTCTTCATCTTTCAAAAATGGCTTGCAGAACTTGAACAAGTTTCAGAAACAAAGGAGGCAGTTAAATGGTAATTTACTCCTTTACCTGAATGAGACCGGAATATACAACAATCGCTCTCCATCTTTCTCTCTCTCTTTCCTCTCTCTGTCTTTCCTCTTCTCTTCTCTCTTTCCTTCTATCTTTCTTTCACTGTTCTTCTCTTCTCCGTCCTTTCCTTCTCTCTTCATTTTCTCTTTTCTCTCTCTCTTTCTCTCTTTCTCTCTCTCTTCATCTTACAAAAGTGGTTTTCAGTACAGAACTTGTGTGAGTATCGGAAACAAAGGAGGCAGTTAAAGTGTAATTTAATGGAATATCAAGGAGTCGGCCGCATTAGATGCTGGCAACGGAGAGAAAGCGAGGGAGGAGGAAAAAAAAAAGAAAAAATTAACTGCAATTAGGTTTGATTAAAGCTATCCTTCTCAATAATCAGCGTTCGTGACAGGACAAGGGGCCCTGGTGGCCCTTGGACGGCAGCGAGGCGTTGGGCAATATTAAGGCCAATAAAAGGGATATTAGCATAGCTAATTACAACACGGCTAAAGCGCGAGCGAGGGGCCACTGTGTATTGTTATGTGCAAAATAATTGGACAAGGCAGTTATCAATTACAGGAGACGCCATTTTGGTTTGTCAGAGAGTAAAAAAAAAGAGAGAGCAGACGTGTTTAATTTCACGTTTGAGGCCCTCCCTACACGTCTCTCACTCTTT